ATATGTCACAAGCTTCAAATCGGATTGTGAGTAGACGCAGACATCCAGACAGTCCAGATGACTTGCTCCCACATCATCTTTCTCATATCATCTTCAGTGTGTGCATGTATGTGTATTTCTAAGCTTTTAGCCACTTTTACCCTGTTAACAGCATGTTTTGCCACAATCACCCGCACTAATGAGTGTGTGTATCCTGTATATCTGCATCCATGGCTTCCTCACTAAGAAGGGTTTCAGGGACGGGAAGATAGGAGACGGTAGAGACATGAAGCAACAATGGCAGGAAGACTGTCCAGATCAAATAGAGATTAAGGCAAAAAACATTCCTCAAATAAACACTAAACACACTCCTTTAACACGCTCTTGAAATGGCTGGGAAAACCACACGCCCTTTCATACTGAGACTTATAGTTCTTTATAATAATGGTAAATTAGGGGGAAATAAATAGCAGGGGTGAATAAGTTAAAGTAGGGCAGTCAAAAAAGTTCGATAATGTTTTTTTAATGTTTTTTTAGTTTGATAATGTTTTTTAATTAATATTTGTATGTTTAGGGGACTTCATGGTACTGAATTATATTTCTGCATTAGTTATACTTCAGTTTGGTACTTCTCTTTTTAAAGACACTTGGCATTTAATTGAAATTTTTCAATAAAGCGTCTCATTTGACGCTAAAGCGTGCCATGTGCGTTGGATGTCTACGCTTTGGCAAAAATGTCGTATATGACACCTTGGGATGAGAATGCGTTGAAATTTCATACCCACTTCGTTAAAGTAAAAAAACAAAAACCAAAACATACAATTTCCTGTCAAAAATGACAGACCAGCACCAGAAGATTAATCAAATTGCGATATGCACTATTGTACGTATATTGAAGTGCGAATGAATGATGCGGTTTAACAAATTTGTATTAAATCACAAATCCACTGAATTTCTGAAAAGAATGCCTTTTGATTATTTTAAACTTAATTAAACCTGTGTGTGTGTTGGGGGGGTGGGGGGTTGGGGTTGGTTGGGATGCGGGGGGTTATATAAAATAAAATACATTACATTAGGGATGCACCGATATGAACATTTTGGTTGATACTGATAACCAATAATTCTTTAATTTGAAAGCTGATGACCAATATTTTGGCCGATAAATCGGAATCTACATTTTTGATCATTTTTGAGAGCCTGATTAAAAACTAAAGTCTCACCATTAAAAGCCATGTCCCAAGCACACAGTTATAATGTTCTCGTTATAATTATATGTAGCCAATATGACAGACTTAACTTAACTGGATTTTCCTTTTTTAAGTGATTTCAATCATATTTCAATCATATTTCAAGCATTTCAAAATGATCATGGTGAACGGTGTGCATCTGTGCATCAAGCGTCTCAGCTGAAGGATATAATCCATTATTTATTGGGCCAATAACTATAGCATTAAAAATGTATATATATATATATATATATATATAAATATATCGGCTGATACCGATATGGTGGCCGATATATCGTGGATCCACACATTTCATAAAAGGTTTTGAATAATTTTTGCTAAACTTTTATTGTTTTTAAATTGTATATGTTTCATGATTTCTATCTAACTAATTAGGCATGTTTTTTTTATTATTAAAATTGAATTTAACCATTAAAGAGTACAGAGAAATTCAAAAACACACATATATAAAAATATATATAAAAAGGATTTGATGGGGCCCTACAACTGCAACCACATGCAATGCCAAACACACATTCATCAAGAGCAGACAGCCCTCTAAATGTCACTAAATTTAATTTACTTCAATTTCTCAATTTATTTACAATGTTCTCTCATGGTTATCCTCTTATTCGGACCCCAACAAATTCAATTAAACCAACTGCGCCATCAAGGCCACTCGGCTCAAACTGAGACAGAAATAGACGTTTTTTCTCCACTGACACAGAGACAGTTGGGCAGAACCTCCGTCTGAGACTAAACCAATGCATTATTTTGACAAACAAAATGATAAAGTCTGCAGGCACACATCCAAAGACGTGCGTGTAAAGCTGTAAACAATAAATAGTGAGCGGTGAGGTGGACAGTGCAGGACTGTTGATCTCCGAGTCATCCTGTACCAGGAGTAAACAGCCCAATTCCTCTTCCTGCCCTCTGTCCACAGTAAAAGCATCTGTTTGACCTCTGACCCTGACCTGACACAGCCAACTTCCTGAACCACACGGCCTACTGGAGGTTTCCATGCCAATGACTATCATCTGAACTAACAAACTCACACCTCTTAGTTCAGCTACAGTGTGGAAAAATGCCTGAAATGGATTCAAATGTTGACATATTTCTGGTATTTTAAGAATCTTGGCACTTTTTCTCCACTTAATATGCATCAGGGTTTATTTCTGCATAGATATATACATTAAAGACTTGATTATACACTACATTTCCACAGTTAGAGTTCATCAGCGAACACACATTGACCTTTTGTGACAACATGCCCCAATATGAGTCCACTGCTGAAAACTCTGGAAGCTATAACAATATACGCCACCATTCAAATGTTGTTTTTGAATGTTTTTGACTGAAGTCTCTTAGGCAGGAGCGTTTGATCGGGGATTGAGCTGAACTCTGTGGGACAGTGAACCTCGAAAACCCCTGTTTTAAGAAGTCTATAGCATGATGAAGTCTAGCATGACACATTACAGGACGTTGCTGTCACTGCACTGCCATATCATGTCAAACACACATATGTAAGAGCTATTAATCTTCATACTGCAAATGTAACCATGGACCACAAAACCAGTCACATGGGTCGATTTTTTGAAATTGAGATTTATACATCATCTGAAATGTGAATAAATAATCTTTCCATTGACGTAGGTCAGTAAGCATGACAGTGTGCCATGTGGCTAAAAAAATGGAAATGAAAGGAACACAAAAGGAGGAAGAAATGAGTGGAAGAAACGCAGTTGTTCCGTACGGTCTGGCATCCGCTACACCTCATGCAGGAGAGGGGATTTTTGTCATAAGCGGTCATAAATAATCACACATTTCCTGCAGGTTGTTTTATGAGCTTTCCCCGCTGTGCTCAAATCCCCAGATTGATTTACAAAGGAATGTGCCAGTCTACTGTGCATCTCATGTCTGTACTTTATGGAACCCATCGTTCATTTTGCCATCTTACAGTAAAGACACCATGAAATCAAAATTGGTCATTCTTATTTTTTTATAGAACATCTCAGTGTTTATTATAAATGATTTATCTGTACACAATCACTATCCTTCACAATCTTGGATCAAAATAATTTCCTCTTGCAGCATTTATGGCACTAAAACTGAAAAACGTACTTAAAATCGACATCAAATGAAGTTACTACTGTCTTTTCTTCCCTATTGTGACAGGCTTCTGGAAGGAGAACAAATGTAGGGCGGGACTTGATTTTAACCATGGGGAATTAATTGGATGATAGTGGTTTTCTATTGGTCAATATCGACAGGTTATCCCGCCCACACGCCTGTAAACACATTTTTAAACACAGTAAACACATGAGCTTCAAGAGGGAGGGGAAGTTGTTTTGATTAAAGATTAAAAGGACACATGAATAAAAAATTAAAAAAAAACGACGTGCACGAATAAATCGTTTTTTATAAATAGGCAACTGCAATATACCAAAGAAATATTGTCATTTTTGATTTCATGGTGACTTGAAAACGTTTGCAGTTCATGAACATTTTGAACTACAGACATAACCTGTGATTGGCCAGAAATAATAAATTAAAGTTTTGTTTGACTGTACTTAAAGGGTTAGTTCACCCAAAAATGAAAATTAAGTCATTAATTACTCACCCCCATGCTGTACCAACCCCGTAAGACCTTCGTTCGTCTTCGGAACACAAATGAAGATATTTTTGATTAAATTTGAGAGCTGTATAACTACCACATTGGCTCCTAAGGGACTGCCTCTTGACGGCCCAGAAAGTCAATGAAGAAAATGTTTAAATATCCCAAGTGACTACCGTGGCTCAACTATATGTTTATCAAGCGACGCGAATACTTTTTGTGCGAAAAAACAAACAAAAATAACGAGTTTATTCGACTATTTCTTTTCTTCCTTGTAGGCCAGAAACGAGATTTCCTTAGATTTCCACGACGCATGCGCGAGAATTGCGATCTGAAGTAGTGTAAAGCAGATCGCAATTCTCGCGCATGCGTCGTGGTCTTACGGGGTTGGTACAGCATGGGGGTGAGTAATTAATGACTTAATTTTCATTTTTGGGTGAACTAACCCTTTAAAACATTATTCGTTCATTACATTGGGTCCCTGTTTACTTTGTTAGCACGTTAGTCTTTTAACAATTGACCCATACAAGTTTATTTCTTTGCTGCTGATTTTGAATTACATTTACATTTATTCATTTAGCTGACGCTTTTATCCAAATAAGCGACTTACAATTGATATGTCAGAGGTCGCACGCCTCTGCAGCAACTGTCTAATCTGTCCTATCCACTGCGCCATCACCACCCCATTATGAATTATGAAAAACAAAAATGTAACCGCAAATTAATTTAGTTATAGCCGGTGTTTGAATTTGCTATTTTTATAACAATAATATATTAAAATAATATAACAAATACCAATTTGCAATATCAACACCCCATACGTTAAAATATGATGTATAGGTAAGTTAGAAAGAATATAACTTTTTTAGACTAAATTTGAATCCTCAGTTACTGGCTTTATTTAAGGTTTGACTAATGCATTTGTCAGAACGGGCTTGGATCACTTCGCCACATCCGCTGACAGGAGGGGGTTCTGGGAAACGCCGCGATGAGGAGATGCGGAGAGGGGAGCACGCCAGCACCTTTGACATGCAAATCTCCGAGAGCTCAGACAACAGGTGTCCAGTGCGCACAGCCACAGTACCCTCTTTCACTTCCTCATCCCTCATTCCCTCACACTCTTCCCTCCGGACCCTGCCTGACTCACTAATTACTGACGCATACAACCATTCACCAACGGACAAGCTGAGAGTATCACTTTTATTTAATTTTCAAAAAACTGCTCAAACTTGAATTTGCATACAAGAGGATGTAAAAATTTGAGTGTGATTAAGAAAGAAAACAGGGAAATTAAATAAAAAAATGACTAATTTCTTGTCAAAGTGACATGTGGATTCTCCCAAATAGTGCTGGATTTCAGCTGGTTCCTTTCAAGGGATCAAAAATGTAAATCTTTGAACTAGTGCATCAACGAAACCAGTAAATATGGCAAACACTTTACAATAAGGTTTCATTTGTTAACTGTAAACATGAAATACCTCTAAAGCATTAATATGTCACACTTTATTTTAAGGTGTCATTGTCACAGTGTGATACAGTTATATCAATTAACCATGTACTATATGTTTAGGTATTGGGGTGTGGTTTAGGGTTAGTTGCATGTAACTGTGCATAATGTATAGCCATTACTACATGTAACAGGCACCGTAAAATAAAGTGTTACCTATTAATCTTAACAAAGATTAAAAATCCTGTAACAAATGTATTGCTCATTGTTAGTTAATGCACTATTTGATGTAATAGAACCTAATTGTAAAGTTACCAACATAGGATTACAAAAATGAAGGATTACAATTTATGTCAGTGTCCATGTTACAGTTTAATTATACATGTAATTACTGAGTAATAATAATTAACTGATGCTAGCAGCACGTAATTATGCAAATGTTATTGCTATTACTACAGTAACTATGTAATGTGTAAGGACACTGAAAATAAAGTGTTACAAAATTAAGAATATGCTTGCTTCTCTCATTAAAAATGTAATATAGCTTTATTACGGCATTGTTTTGGCACTAAATCTATATGAGAATACCTTCTCAAGCTCAATGCATGTAATTTCCCACAAGAGTATTGAATCTAACTCTAAAAAGCTTAATAAATATGACACATGGATCATCAGCCCATACAATTCAGCAGTCCATAGAGATCAAGCATGCATACTAAGTGTCAGTTTGTGGTCCCTTTTAGTGAAATATTGGGTGAATGATGTCAGTTAAATGAAATATCATTTGATATGAGCTAGACCACTTCCTCTCAAAGAAAAAGACTTGCAGCAAAAATGTCTACACCTCGACCAATAAGCAAATACATGAGAAATATTGCCATAAATTCTCATGAATATACATATCTTACAAGAAGCAATAGCAAAAAGACAAATAAAGTCTCAGTGTTACAATAGTATTGGCTATTCTATTTACATCAGAGAAAATAAATCATTGATATTTAAAAAATATAATTTTTCTTCACCCTACAAAAGGTCAGAGTATTGTGCCCTACTGCATGCCTTCATTTTTAGTAAATCAAGATGGCAATGTGCAAAAACAATCTCTTGGTCAAGAATTTGACAGTCTAAAGTCATGTACATACACATAAGATAACATTGGACCGCAACAGAAATTCAAGATGGTTATATAACTGGAACATGCGGCGGGAATGTACACAGTATATGTGCAAACCTGCTAGCCTCATATCATGATTCTCCCAAAAGTTCATTCAATGATTACGACTGACTTTTGCAGGAAATTAAAATCTATTTAGCAAAATAGTAAATTCTGTTTTCATTTTGGCACTAAGTTAAATAGTTTTATCTAGTTTATTTTTTCAGCAATGTCAGAGAACATGAATCTGTACAATATTTGGTCAGTTGATGTGCTCTCTCCCAATTCTGCTCTAATGTTCAAGAAGGTGAACTGCAACTGAATTTGGGATTGAAAAAAAAAGAAGCAGCTCATTAGAGTCCCTTAGTGGTCAAGACAATGAATTACAACTGAATTCAGAAAAGCAATTTCTGCCACGCAGATCTTCCACTCATTTTGATGCTAATGACAAGTGTTTTTTCTCTGAAGAATATTTACACTGACCTAACAGTTAAGGAAACGCCATGACAGCAGTCTATATGAGCATACTACTGTATGTCATATTAACTTGTAAGGCGTTTTAATGCCAGATGGGTCACTGTGGAGAAGCGCAGTGTGAAGATTCTTCAAAACTGCAATTGCAACATTGTTATTTTTTTAGGAGAACCATTCTTGGGCCTAAATTTAAGATTCATGTATTTGAATTGCATATGAAATGTCCATCCATTAGAATTACGCTGTTTAAAAAACCTATTAAACTTCATGTGATGAACATTTGTCAGTCATATATAAATAGAGCATTATAAGGCATGCTTATAATGAGCATAAAACGTGAAAATAATTACATGTATTCAGTTAAAAAGTATGAACAGGTAATATCCAATCAGTTCAAATGAATGTAACAAACTGGATTGATTGATGATAAATATATAAACCAGGTTTTTGTGCATTCAAAATTTGTATTTTACAAGTACTATTACAGAAATCTTTCCCGTTTCATGCATGACTGACAAATCTGCTTCATATTAAATTTATTAGTTAATTTATGTAGAAACTGTGTAAGGAGGATGAACGTTTTATATGCGACTCAAATACAAAAATCTTTCATTTAGGCATAAATATTAAAGAACAAAAACAGACAAATGTAATCTCCTGAGGAAGATGGAGGAAATGTAGTTTGCATCCCACTACAGTGTGTCTTCTGTACAGGAACCATAACTAGTTTAAACCGCATGAGAACATCTGCATCCAGCGCAGCTCATAAACACTTCATTTAGAGATCTGAGAGCTGCTTTTGGTTATTTGTCCTTCATTTCATTTCCAAACATGCACATATACATAATCCTGTAAACACACTTTAAAGCTCATGATGTAAAGTGGCATCCTCTGTAATAACTTCTCCTACGTGACTGTGACTCTCACAAGTCATGACTCTAGCTTGGTCATGTGAAATCCCCTCTGATGTGAAGTCCTGAGAGTGGGGAGGCAGGAGCGGACTGATGTTTTAGCTCAGTAAACTGGTTTACAGGTACGTGTCGTGCTCTGCGCTGCTCAGACTCTGATTGGAGCTCTGCAGGATTGTGTCTTTCTGCAGGAGCGGCGAGAGGTTTTCGCTCTGCAGTGCTGGGTCTCTGGGTAACGGGTACGGATTAAGGGGAGGCGAGGTGTTCATTGTGTCTTTATTCTTCTCCGTTTTGCTCTTCTTGACTTTTTTCCCTTTGTCCGCATGGCTCTCTGTGGTCTGCGGTGCCTCGATGATGATTGTGGGGTTTTGTTTGAGCTCCTGGCGACTGGGCGGCTCGGCGGCCATGATGGCTTTGGCGCCGTGCATTCTGGGTGGGGATTTACAGTGCAGCTCTCCGTGGGTCTCCTTCCAGCGGCGGAGCTGAGAGAGGTGCTCCTTCTCTATGTCTCGCTCAGACAAGGGCAATTCAATGACCTGACAGGTGGGCAAAAGTGAGGGAGATATTCGTCTTAAATGGTCAATAACAATAATAGAAAAGGAAAAAATTACTGTATTGTCAAAGGGTACGTTTACACGACCACGATTTGCTTAAAGTGACAAGTTTTTCCTTGAGATTTCCACGTACAGACGGCACCATTGTTAAAACGATCTGCAAAAGCGATTAAAACGCTGTATTCTGCTGCCAGGCCAGTAGATGGTGATGAAACACTATAGATTGTAACCTTTGCATTTTCAACCACAAAAAAGACTGTTGTCGTGTAAACGGCAAACAACGAACGGCAAACAAGCAGAGATGCTCCAAACTGCATGCGGCTCTTCATTGACGACAGACGTTATGAGGTTTGACCCAACTGTTTGAGGATTCAATGGAGTTACAAATAAGGTTTAGTTAAAAGCCCTTTTTAAAAATGTTCATATGTTAAATATTTGCAAAGGCCACAGACATATGTAAAGGATAACCAAAAATATCAAGATACAAGGTTTCCATCCAACAGCATCAATTTCTGAGTATTATGACAAGGCAAATCAAATGGTACTCAAGGCAGGCCTGTGCCGAAAAGACATGTTACAACCAGCAGGGGGAGCCACAGGTTATGTTTGGCTGTTGCTGTCTATACACTGCAAAGTATAGAATGTTTACTGCCTACTATTTCTATTCTATTTATCATTCATTCATTCATGATTATAAGAAAAAAATTACACAAAATTCAATAATTCCAGTGGTAGAATTCTACATTGTTATTCAGCGGAAAACTGCTAACGAAAAAGGTTATTTTGCATGCGCGTGTTTTACAAGTGTAACACATAAGGGTATATGTGTGCGATACCTCTTGCACTAGGAAAACCTCGTGCATGTATCGTGGCTCAATAGATCTGAGCAGCTCCATGGTCTCATACTGGCCCTGACACGCCTTCAGTTTCTCTTGAGATCCCAGCATGCACTTCAGCAGCACCAGACCCACGCGGAAGATGATCTTCACTCCTGCATCACACACAGACATGTATTTCCATTAGCAGTGTATATACAACCCTGGCTATGTTCAGACTGCAGGCAAATGTGGCCCAAACCCAATTTATTTGCTCACATGTGACAAAACAAACCACACGGAATGTGACTTTTTCAATACCGATTCGTGCGATTTCCATATGTGGTGCTAAATCCAATACAGGTCAGATGTTTTGCATTGCTCCCCCAGTCTGAACAGTCGTATCGGAATTCATACGACATTTACGTCACTCTGGCTCAACATTTGTCACAATTCTGCACTGATGGGAGTCACTTCAATGATTTTACATACCCGACGTTAGTGAATGTGTCAAAGCTCATAAGTATTACAGTGACAGCTCTATAAACAAGCAAAATGTGGGCTCATAACATAAATGTTTAAAAAAGCTTTTTTTGCATCCTCGTCTTTGTTTTTTTTATATCGCCTGCGCTTCGACGGCAAATCACACTATAAATAAACACATAAGCACTTAATTTAATTTACTCTGTGTTTACTTCCATTTATCGTTCTTTTGTGCATGTGGTTCAGTCTGGACAATGATCTGTTCACACTGGAATCTGATATTGCCCACATTTAAGACAACAATGTGAACATAGCTATACAAAAATAGACAAATCTGAGCAATAAATTGGAATTCGGCACTAAGGCTCGCAGTGTGAACCTAGCCTAAACGTTTAGACTACTTGTATATAGGGCTGTCTTGGGTAGCTCGGTATTTATTTTAGAACCTTTACCTTTAAAGCGCCAGTCGACAGCCATGCAATGAATGTGTTTTCATAATTGATTGTCCATAAAATAAAATTAATAAATGAAATTTATTAATTTAACATTATTAACATTAAATAGCTTTACTGTTTTTCTAAAATGTTTTCTAAAGTTATAATAAAACAAATAGGTTTGACTGGCAGTATGTGTGTTTTGGAACCTGGCTGCACACCTCAAAGAAGGCAAGCTTTGAGAGCTCAGAGTATGTGTGACGGTAAGTTAACATTGCTTTCTGGAAACCCCTCTGAAGTGAGCATGTTAAACATTTACACAATTTATTGCACTCTGCAAGTAAATGTCACAAGTATCAAGGTGCAAATCCCCTCTGTGGAGGGGTGAGCTGTCAACAATGGACAAAGCGCACACAGTGTTCAAGTCTCACCCTCACAGAAGAACATGTCCCACACGCGCAGCACAGACGCCCAGGGCAGCGTTCTAGAAAAGGCACACATGAACCACTCTGTCATGTAGAGGATGGGGTCAATCTTGTGTTTCTTAAGATGCCGGTAGGCCACCGGGGACACGCGCTTGAGCAGAGCGAACAGGATCTCGCCGTCTAACTGGATGGCCTCCTGTGTAGACAAGGACGGACCAGGAAACAAAGAAAGATGAAGTCTGGGATGTTTTGCAGTGGATCCATTTCCCTATAACCACTTTTCATGTTAAACAGATTCCCAGCATGCAAATTATCTACTGTCTGGTGAATGAACAGTTTCACTGATAAGTTTCTACAATCTGACACTGCGAACACAAGAACATGGATGTGTTAAACAAATTCGGAGAGCAACAATTGACACGCTAACAACAGAAACAGTAAGAGGAAACCCCGCAGGCAAAAGTGAGTGAAAAAAGAGTGATAGAGAAAGAGAAAGAACCTGATGTTGATTTAATCTAGTTCACTTCTTATCTGACAGGCAGAGCCCTACCGCCCACACTGGAGCATTTGCCTGTTGACTCCTGAAGGTCAGACACAAAAGACCTCACATAACTTTTATTTTTTAGGAGTAAATCTAAACAGCACCGAAACCTGAAAGTTCAATTGCATTCACACTGCTAACGACCAGAAGCCATAAAATCTCAAGTGAAGTAGCTATTGTACTTCAGAAGTCTTGTTGAGACTAGGAGAGCCTAGTTAATCAGTTCTGCTGGGTTAGACAGGCTGTGAAGCGTACAAGAGAAGCAACCCTTGAACTCTGAACACTCTGAACAACAGCTCTCTACATCAGCACATTTCCCTTGGCAGAACAGTGCAAACACAATCTGAGCGCATCAGCATCTTGTCAGCGATCGATCGAGTGTTTTGACGGGATGATTGATTGCTCTCGTGTGGATCTGAAGGTTGACAGCATGCAGAGAACTTCTGAATGGAAAAGGACTGTGTGTTGTCTGCTCTTACCAGGCCTGCGCTGTAGTATCCGGGCAGATACTTCTCACAGATCTGGACCAGACCCCAGAATGCATCCTACCAGAGCATGACCATAAAGGAATAAGAGACCAGAATAGGGTATAAGCCTAACTTGCTTTTGTACTCAAAGCATTTAAACCATTCAAGCAAACATATGTATATGATATGTGTGTGTGTGTATATACTAGGGCTGGGCAAGTTAACGCATTATTATCGCATTATATATATATATGTGTGTGTGTGTGTGTGTGTGTGAGTGTGTATAAATAATGACAGTGATTCGATAACACTTGGAGCCTTTATATAACTGCAACAATTAAAGCATTAAAATACTTTTATAACACATTATTATAAAAGTATTTTAATGCTTTAATTGTTGTAATTATGCCTGTAAAGCACCTTATAATGCATTGTATGATCTCATTAATAATTACAACCACAGTTATTATGCATTCGAATACTTATAATAATATTCCTTGTTACACCTTGAGAGCATATAATGCATTCAAACACATGACAAACCACCAATTGATGTAACAAGGAATCTGCAATAATACATTTTAACTTTGGTTAGAATTATTTATGAACATAAATAATGCATTACAACGTACATTATGAATACGTTTACTATGTATTATACATAAAGGCTTCAGATAAAGTGTTACTGATAATTGTAGTGTTTTGTTATAACATATAAAGCATTGCAATAGATAACTGTATAAATCAATAAATGATTGATGAGAGGCATCAAGGGGCGTGTGAGTGATTAGAGAAGAGCACAAACACGAACCTCAGCAGGCATGTGCATGAGCAGCACTGCGGCTATAGGGGCCTGCGCCTGACAGTAACCCTCCTCCGGTCGGTGCAGTGTGTATGCCTTCAACACCCGGAACAGATCCTGCTGCCTGCACACACACAGGTCAATGCGTTATGAAACAGAAGGGACTAGGTTCAAAGGCTGAAGCTTGTAGGTGAAGTGACGTACCCGTGGCCTCCTCGAGCTACAAACATCTCGTGGAAGGGAAACTGTCTGTGGAGGTCTTTTTCTATCACGTCCAGCCATTTAGGATCTCCTGGCTGACTGTCCAACTCCTGCCAAGTCAAGTCACATTTATTTATATAGCGCTTTATTCTGTACAGATTGTTTCAAAGCAGCTTCACTTTGATTAAGTGTAAAGGAAAGTGTAAAGTAGCTCTAGACAGAATAATACTGACATTTTTCAGCTCATTTTGGTTTCAATTCATTTCAATAACTGTCAATGTTGCAACGTTTATCATTTATTCAGCTAAACGTCAGTTCAATGTTGATCCAATAACGGTAGTTGCCACGATAGTGTTGTTCATCCACTTTTGTTTTCAGCGCCAGTGCAGTTAAATCCATAATTTCACTGAATATGAATTGCCTTTTAAACCCCAAAATGCAATAACTCAATGACAATAAATAAAATGACAATAAATAATGACAACACAAGACTTAAACTGCATAATGTGCACAGATATTATATATATATATATATATATATTAAGTGAAATATTATTACAATTTAAAATAACTGTTTTCTATCTTAATATTTTGTCAAATGTAATTTATTCTAGGGATCAAAGCTGAATTTTCAGCACCATTGTCATATCATCCTATAGAAATCAATCTAAAATGCTAATTTGATGATCAAGAAACATTTCTGATTATTATCAGTGTTGTGCTGCTTAATTTTTTTGTGCAAAAACCATGATAACATTGTTTTTTTTTTTGATGAACAGAAAGTTCAAAAGAACAGCATTTATTTAAAAAAAAGTGTCTTTACTGTCACTTTTGATCGATTTGCATCCTTGCTTGATAAAAGTATAAAATTATTTGGCTGAAAATATTGATATTTGGCTGAAATAAGGTGTCTCAGATGGTGGCATAATCACGCTGTTTTGGAACAGTGGCGTGATGCTACCAAAGGTTGGAGTGGAAAAACCTTGGAGATACTCTCAGTCTCACCTGAAATTTGCCCTGATTCTGTTCTTTCTTTACTTTGCCTCCAGAAAGATAAAGCCACGCACGACCTCTGAGAGATGGAGGGATGCCCTTCTGACAACGCAACTTCACCTTAAGAAACACGGAGAAAGACAGTGTGATTTTACACTTGTATTTTAGGATGACATACAACCCTTAATGGCCAATGACATTTGCCATGTGCCATTACACCAACATTAAATAAAACTAAGCACTTGCGCTTATATACTTTCTCACTACTCACTGCATCAGCATTGCACGAGTATCCAGAATAACCCCGCCATTTTTAAATAGTTTGGCAAGAAATAGTTACTAAACTTACTACTATTATTATGGCAACTTGGAAGAATACGCCGTAGACAAACGAGGAGGTGCAGACTTTCCTTTGTTTGGCAGCCGAAAAGAGGATCCAGCGAGAGCTTGATGGGGTAACGAGGAACGAAAGGCGTCGCTATGACGACCGGGTACTATTTGTGGCAGTACTGTCTGTAATGGAAAACGGAGCGAAAAGCGAACAAAGTCGAGCTGGTACTGGTAACGGAAAAGCTCCATTAGTGTGTTTGCATAACTCACTACCGCACCAGCAATAGACATAAAAAAGAGCCTTTAATTTTTATATTTGCTTAAAATTACATTATTTTGATCTCAAAATGTAATTGGAATAATTATGGTTATCGCAAATATTCGCGACAGGCCTTGTCGAGCTGAATTACAGTAAATATGCATGAGATGTGGCGTCTAGCTGCTGTAAAGTTGTGAAATGACTAGGGGTTTTGTCTGCAACGTTAGTCACTGGAGAGAGATTGAGCACCAAGAGAATCATAAAAATTTACATTTAGAGACTAATGGTCGTCACAGAGATTTTGTGTGGGCCTGGTCATAACTTTATCTGATTCTATTAAATAGTTTGTGAAGCACATGGTGTGCGATGTGTAGTCAAATTCCTAAGATAACATCATGTGGACATGATTGCTGTTGTTGAACGTTTAATGAACGTTCAGCATTCTCTAAAAAATTTGAGCTAATCGAGAACAAAATTAAACCTGTGGACAAACACAAGCCTGTTTTTCAGTGTCCAACCTTCTTGTGTTTTTTGGCCATCCACTTGTCCCAGCTGTTCAGCATATCCAGCCATTTGGCTTCTCTCTGCCGGAGCACGTCTGGAGGAATATCATCACTGTATCGACAGAGAACAAAGAGAGATTAGATCATTTATCTGATATAATATGCATGTCGGCACACCCACACATACAAAATCACGCATGTTAACAAATACGGGGTTAGGAACAGAGAACCAGTTCTTGTTCAGAACCTGTTCAGAACAGACGATCATAGCAATCTCTTCTATTAATGGGAATGATCTATATGATCAGTGTTTATAAAAAATAACCTGACAGTGTTTTCTGCAACACTATTCACCAGCAGGGCATCTCTACAATGGCAATTTTAATCAGCCTAACCACTCACTCCCTCACTGAACCGGTCAGAGAGCTTCTTGACTAATCATAACTACGCTTTCTTCATGTCCAGCTCAACAGAAACCCAGAAACCTGTTATGGTGTTATGTGTAGTTAAATATACATTTCTTAAAGCTGTACAAACCCCCCCCCAAAAAATGATTCTAATGCCTATATAGCACATTTACAAGCTCATCCTTTCATATTTATAAACTCATCCCAACATATTTACAAACTCACCCCTATTTATTTACAAACCCATCTTTATATCTATATGTTTAGACATTCATCCCAATATTTACAAACTCATTCCTATATGTTTAAAAATGTATTCCTATATTTACAGACTTATCTCTATGTTTAGAAATTCATCTCTATATATTTACAAACGTGTTCCTGTATGTTTAGAAATGAATCCCTATACATTTACAAACTCATCCCTATGTTTAGAAATTAATTCCTTTATTTACAAATGCATTACTATCACAAACTCATGCCCGTTTAGAAATTCATGCCTTTATTTACAAATGCATCCCCATTCATCTGTGTTTAGAAATTCATTTTAACACAGGGATGTATTTACAATACTTAGTCTATATACAGTAGTCAACATTTGAAGTGGATCAAAGCCTTTCATTTCTTTGATGAACTTTTTTGATCCACTTCAAATGTTGACCACTGTATTTACAAACGCATCCCTATATATTACAATATTACATATTAATAAGTGCATCCCTATGTTTAGAAACGTATTAAAGGATTGCTATTCATTTACAAACCCATCCCTATATATATGTATATATATCTATATATATATATATATATTTAGAACTCTTGACCTGATATGTCCACTCCAACTGTTTGAAAAGCATAACGTGGGTGTCAAATTAGTTCAATTGAATCAGTACTGTGGGCGTCATCATATGTTCACAGGAAGTTCTTCTGACGGAAACTCAAAACACAAGATGCTTTGCACTGCTGAACAAAAATCACACATTTTTAACTACTACCATCATGTTTAGCAACTTGCATGTCTTCTAATAAATTACTTAGTTGCACAACTTCTATGTGATGCTAATGTGGGATGACTGTTTATAAGAATGTTCTGGGCAGTCAGAACGGGGGAGACGGAGATCACAGGGGAAAGCCCTGTTTCTGGGAATCTTTCTGTCTGATTGTGTTCATGTGACCCCAGCACCTCGGCCTAGAGAAGCCAATTTATTACATCCAGATGACAGACACACCCTTACACATGAGATTGAGTGGCTTATATCAGAAAAAAACAGGAAAATATAACAGTACAGAGATTTACAGGTATTTTTCTTCAGAAAACGTGACCATATGTCTGTACAAAACCTGCCACAACAATGGCAGGGTTAGGTGTAAAAGCATTATTTAGAAACAACACTTATAATGGCTCTGGTCCTGCTTCTTTGAGTCATAACTTTAGTGATCGAAGCTCTGATCGGTGGGAGGTGGATTGACTCAACTCAGAGGAAATCAGACACATTAAGCGCTGAAGAAATATTTTGACAGTGCTTTTACTTATCAAATGGGAAAAGATTAGCATACAATGAATGAAAAACTATTATAAGCTTATTACTCAAAGCCCCCGCTGAATAAGAAACAGGGACACGATGCTGATTAACCATATGAAAACAATACAAATTTGTAGTGTGATGTGCAATAAATGTATTGTACAAAAAAAAGTACATTTTCAAGAATGTGGGACATATTTTTAAGTTAGTTTTCATTTCTTTATGTTTTCATTTCATTTCCCTGACTGATTAAAAAAATATGTTGGGGAAGTTCATCCCTGAGAAACCAACGGATCCAATTATCCTTTGGCAAAAGGTTAAAGAGACAGGACAGGCTGCGTAAACCCTGAAGGCACACGCACACGCATGGTCTTGAAATGGAAACCAAATATACTCGCACACACACAGTGTGTACACAGATTACGCAGTCCAGATTGGATTATCGTCAGCGATCTGATTACAGATGACTGCGGTTGTTAAGATCTATGGAACAGAAACAGGGCCCGCCGTTCGCCTGTTTACTTTTCCCGGATACGCAGGTCGAGCTAATTGTGTTATGCTGTAAACACAAAGAAAGAGGTGAATGTAGGCTGGAGGATGGACTGAAGTACAAGAGGAGCGGTCACATGGAAAGGGTAAGGCATGTTCACTTTCACCCAAAAAGTATCGTATAAGTACTCTAAAAGTGTTTCCTTTCACCCTATTGACACATTCTTCAGGTCAAAGCAGAATGCCTGCAGTTAGTAGAGGAAAACAGGAAGCATATGACTGCCGCGGGAAAAATCCATTCGTTCCTTTCCTGGTACTCCCAAAATATGGGCAAAACAACAGCAGGCAAACAGAGAAGACAGACAGAAAAACTGTCTGACTAAAGAACTGAAAGTGTCAATGTTAATATAAGTAGGGCTACCACCGATTTCTAGTCGACTAGTAATCGTTTCTTTAAAGGACAAGTTCAGTATTTTACACACAGAAACATCGTTTCTGATGAAATAGAAAGGTTTGAAATTTGGACACATGCTGCTGTCCCAAGAATTTTCGGTTTCTGTGGTAGCTGCCCCCCACCTACACAATGGTTGCATATGTGCACAGGAACAATTCTTCCTAAAACGCATTAAACTTAAGTTTACAAAGACGTGAAACTCACCGAGTGGTCAGGGGTGTTCACTGATATGTTCACACAAAAATCGCTCCAAAAGATGCTTTCCGATGTGTCCAAATTTCAATCTTAACTGTTCCATTTCATCAGAAACGATCTTAAAACAGGGCTTTAAGTGTAAAATACCGAACTTGTCCTTTAAGCCATTAGTCAGCTAGTCGCAAGTTTAGATGATGAAAACACCAAGATGCGCATAAAAACACATGCGCTGAACTGAGTTGGATATTTTGTTTATTCGATAAGAAGACATGCGCATAAACTATGATGGAAGCACATTCACAACATACCTTAATGCGCAACAAAAAAGCTTGCTTGGCTTGCCTCTACAGAGGATGTGATTGGACAACTTTACTAAGCAGAGGACCAATATCATTCATCATGCATCTCAGATGTTGTTTTGACGGTGGCCGAGAAAGCTCAACGCGCTGCAACTGAAGAAAACACATGCAAATGTTATTACATGTTTCAAATGATAAGCCAGCCATGTTTGAGGTTGATGAATGATTGCCGAACATTTGAATTTCCTGCCCGACATAATTACCATATAGGCCAGCCGTGTTAACGGACTGTGTGACATTGCCACTTCCTGTGCAGGTTTTTTTTTTTTTTTTTTTTGTGCTACCAAAATAAAACAAAAGCACATGAAGGCAGCATTAACCTCTTCTAAGCAACTAATGTTTGGTTGACTATTAGAGGGCAACCCTAATCATACAGACAGTTCACACTAAATTCAGATTGGATGAACTATGTTAAAAGTGAGAAACCATCAAAAAACTATATTTGGCCATAAGTTCCAGTCAGTTTGAATGAAAAAAAGTTCCTATTTGTAGAAGATCTCAAAATCAGAGTACATCATAAGACACAATGATGAATGATGAAGCTCTGTTGTGTGCTTGCCGAACATGAACAGGTTCACTGAAACGCTCCCCACTCCCCAGAGGCTTGCCGCTCAGTTTCATCTCCATGGCAGTAGTAAACAAACAAAAGAGAAACAAAAGCCAAGAGGTGAAATGTCATAAATGAGTCCTCTCCATAGAAAAGTGCAATTGTCATTGTCAATTGTGAAGAAAAAAATGTCATAAGCACAGTCGTCTTTCTTTAACAGACTTTAATTTCATTAGGCATGAATGATTTTTCTGTCATGATGGTCCACAGCAAACACAGAATCCTCAAAGACCTCTTTTATATTATATTCGATGGGAAAGAAAGAGCTATGTGTGTGTGAGAGAAGGAAAATTTCTATTTTCCAAAAAAATGCATATTAAGGGTGAAAGCAGATTTTTCCTACAGTCGAAGTCAAAAGCAATGTAATACATTTAGATAGAGAATCAGCATATTTCTGAGGAGTGGATTTTGATATGATAAAGAAAAAGGAACTGAGAGTATTTACACAAATGAAATGAATCTATACTATCTTAAAGATAATTTTGTACAAATCCAAAGAGGCTTCAAAGTGTTTTATTGGACAGTGCTAAACAATTTTTGCACATGCACACCTGTGTTACACTTTTTAAAGAGTTAGTTCAACCAAAAATGAAAATTATCCCGTGATTCACTCACCCTCAAGCCATCCTAAGTGTATATGACTTTATTCGTTCTGCCAAACACATTCAGAGTTTAATAAAAAAAAAAAAAATCCTGGCAATTATTATACAGAGCAGTAAACAGTAATCTCTGTAAGATGCTTGAGAGTGAAAAGAGTGGCTCGTCTTACTGAACACAACGTTTTAACTAGTAGAAAAAAAACAGAAGTTTCACATTGGCTAGTTAGGGTCATCCTCCTAACCTCATCTAGCACTACAGCCATAACTACACCACTATGATGGAGAAAAAAACATGATTGAGGGCCTTTCAGATTAAATACATTTTCTGCCAAAGAAAATGTAAATCGCAAGCATTTCATTATGTTACACAAGATGTGTTATTTGCCAAAGCATTACATAAGTGAACATGCAGGGATCAGTGAATGTAAAGAATTTACAGAGCTTTTGGAGATTTTGTGGATCTGCTAACACTCATCAGAGTTTAAAACTAACTCTACTTCGACGCCTGACCGCCACACTATTGCCTGTAGAATGAAATGAAAACACTTGCAGGGAAGTTCTGCCTAAACAAATCAAGTCATTCTGAGTGCTAAAGGGAGTTCACTGCAAGAAGGAAACGTCCCGCATGACAGGCCAAATGAGAGACTGGAAAGAAACATTCTGTCACAAAGGGAATAAGGGAGATTCTTCATGAACTGTAGAGGACTGATGTGCCTTTCTGTGATTAATTCAACAGCAGATTCATTTGATCTGTGTATGTTTTCTTGGCCAAACAGAACTGCATTGTCCCGAGCCATTAGAGACACTCATGTAAGTCAATGCAAAACAGACAAGTGTTTGTAATAGAAGCACAGGAAGAGGACGCAGGCAATTTACTTGATCATCTGAAGAAAAAAAAATGAATTTGGCGTGAAGATTAGTTTGTACAATATGTCCAGTCTTGAGACTAATACACTATAGTTGTATGGGGTAAGGCTTTTTATTTTGAAAGATAGGCTATTTCAAATAAATACTGTTCATTTGAACTTTCTATTTTTTGAAGAATCCTGAAAAAAAAAAATCCTATCACAGTTTCCACAAAAATATTAACCTGGACAAATGTTTTCAACATTGTTAATAATAAATGTTTCTTGAGCATCAAATCATATTAGACTGAAGTAATGATGCTGAAAATACAGCTTTAGGGGACGGGTCAGACTATGAGCGGTTCAAAGCCCTCTATGAGGAAAAATTAAATCGAGGACCGTGACGTCGGCCGGTATGGAGCAGCCGGGGCCCCACCCTGGAGCCAGGCCCAGGGTTGGGGCCCTGTATGCGAGCGCCTGGTGGCCGAACCTGCCCCTACGGGGTCTGACCGGGCTCGGCCCGAAGGAGCTATCGGCTGGCCTCGAAGAGATTCTGGCAAACTGTCCGGCGCCTCAAGAGAGGGAAGCAGTGCCCTAACAATGTTGTTTACAGTGGAGGTAAGCAGCTGTTGACCTCAACTAGGGATGTCATCGGACGGAAGGAATACTTCAAGGATCTCCTCAATCCAGTCGTCACGTCTTCCATTGAGGAAGCAGAGGCTGAGGGCTCAGAGGTGGACTCGTCCATCACCCTAGCTGAGGTCACCGAGGTAGTCAAGAAACTCCTCAGTGGCAAGGCACCGGGGGTGGATGAGATCCGCCCTGAGTACCTCAAGTCTCTGGATGTTGTGGGGCTGTCTTGGCTAACAGCATCGCGTGGCATTCGGAGACAGTGCCTCTGGGATGGCAGACCAGGGTGGACGTGGTCCCTCTTTTTAAGAAAGGGGACCGGAGGGTGTGTTCCAATTACAGGGGGATCACATTTCTCAGCCTCCCTGGGAAAGTCTATGCCAGGGTACTGGAGAGGAGACTACGGCCGATAGTGGAACCTCGGATTCGGGAGGAAAAGTGTGGTTTTCTTCCAGGCCTTGGAACACTGGACCAGCTCTATACTCTCTACAGGGTGCTGGAGGGTTCATGGGAGTTTGCCCCACCAATCCACATGTGCTTTGTGGATTTGGAGAAGGCATTTGACTGTGTCCCTCGCGGCAGTCTGTGGGGGGTGTTTCGGGAGTATGGGGTCCGGGGTCCTTTGCTAAGGGCTGTCCGGTCCCTGTATGACCAAAGCAGGAGCTTGGTTCGCATTCCCGGCAGTAAGTCAGACTTCTTCTTGGTGCATGTTGGACTCCGGCAGGGCTGCCCTTTGTCGACGGTTCTGTTCATAATCTTTATGGACATAATTTCTAGACGCAGCCAGCGGCTGGAGGGTGTCAGGTTTGGGGACCACACGATTTCTTCTCTGCTCTTTACAGATGATATTGTCGTGTTGGCTCCTTCAGACCAGGACCTTCAGCATGTACTGGGAGGGTTTGCAGCCGAGTGTGAAGCAGCTGGGGTGAGAATCAGCAACTCCAAATCCGAGGCCATGGTCCTCAGTCGGAAAAGGGTGGCTTGCTCACTTCAGGTCGGTGGAGAGATCCTGCCTCAACTGGAGAAATTTAAGTATCTTGGGGTTTTATTCACGAGTGAGGGAAGGATGGAATGGAAAATTGACAGACAGATCAGTGCAGCTTCTGCAGTAATCCAGTCGATGTAACAGTCGATGTGTCTGTCGTGGTGAAGAAGGAGCTGAGCCGCAAGGTGAAGCTCTCGATTTACCGGTCAATCTACGTTCCTACTCTCACCTATGGTCATGAGCTTTGGGTCATGACCGAAAAGACAGGATCCCGGATACAGGCCGAAATGAGCTTTCTCCGCAGGGTGGCTGGGCAATCCCTTAGAGATAGAGATAGGGTGAGAAGCTCGGTCACTCGTTAGGAGCGTAGAGCCGCTGCTCCTGCATTTCGATAGAGGTCAGCTGAGGTGGCTCGGACATCTGTTCCAGATGCCTCCTGGATGCCTTCCCGGCGAGGCGTTCTGTGCATGTCCCACTGGGAGGAGACCCCAAGGAAGACCAAGGACACGCTGGAGGGACTATTTCGCCCGGCTGGCATGGGAACGCCTCAGTGTCTCCCCGGAAGAGCTAGAGGAAGTGTCTAGGGAGAGGGAAGTCTGGGCATCTCTGCTTAGACTACTGCCCCCGCGACCTGGCCCCGGATAAGCGGAAGAACATGGATGGATCACAGGAATAAATTACATTTTAAAACATATTCAAATAGAAAACAGTTATTTTAAAATGCAATACTATTTCAAAATATTGCTGTATTTACTGTGTTTTAGATTTTTAAAAAATATATTTTTTAATTATTTTTCAAATAAATGCAGTCTTGGTTAAAAATAAGAAACTCCTTTCAAAACCATTTAACAAATCTTACCAACCTAAAAACTTTTGAATGATAATGTGTAAATTATACCAATATTTACAATTTTCAACTTCATTGGGCCTCCAAATAATTATTAAATTCACAAACAAATCTAAGAAAATAGAAAACAAATCATAACATACAGACACAGCTTATGATATTACATAAGGTCCATATCCGTCCGGTATTACATGACTGGAGGACCGTGAGCTGATCAAGCACTTCTCAAAGCTAGTCGGCTTAGAGGAACTCAACAAGAACAACCAATGGGGACTTTAGCGGCATTAAAGACCTGTCCACTCATCTGCGCTCACATGGACGAGGACTTTCAGCAAAGACTGTCCACATAGAGTCCACTTAATGCAGTGTGAAAATGTGACACTCAAAATCAAAAACATTAGCGTGCTTCACGCTTCACACTTCACAGACATTAACAAACATCACAGATAGATAGAATGCCATGTCAGCATCTATGGCTATTTTCATGACAAAAATTCAATAACAAAAATAAAATTAACATATGATAATAAAAAAAATCCAAAACCTTTTCAGGCATAATCTTACTAAATAAGTCCTTAAGTGAAATAACACAATAAAAGAGCGATCTACTTATATTGTTAGTCCAGGGCAGTCCAATAAAATATGTTTTGTTACCAATGAAAGTTAGAATAAAGTGTTACTGATTCTATGGCACAAACAACTGACAGTTATTTATGGTTAATGTCTTTCTTTAACCTCCATAAATGTGACCGCCACTTACTTTTCTCCTGCGCTCTGTTGAGCTCCTCCTATGAAGCCATATCTGTCGGTCTGGGTCTCCGTGTTGGCGAACCCGTTGATTTCGGAGTCTGAGCCCAGAGAAGAGCTCTCGTGCTCGGCCAGATTCTCCGGCGTGCCCCGCGGACTCCTGCTGTCCCTCCATTGCACTCCGTTCCCCGACTGAAGCTTAGCCATGGTGAATGTGCTCTCCAAACGCGACCAATAAACTTACTTTTGGACCAAGCAAGTATAAAATGTGTTTTGACGCACCGATTTTGGATTTCCTCCTGACAACCGCCTCAAACTATCAACACACTGAGATTTGAGCCTCACAGCTTCTTCTAGTGACACTAACGATACGCCATAACTGATGGTAAATCCATTAAAGTGAAGTAAAACTGAGGTTTATCTGACTCTGACAGGCCATTGTGGATATTAGCCACCAGCTAACTTATATATATACGTTAATCGACAGTTTCACAAAAGACACGTACATAAAGACATATTATCAATGAATGTATTAAATTAGCTTAATAATATCTCTTTGTCTAAGGAAATATCTAGCGCTAGTTTATTATGGCTGAAACAAACTGTAACTCGACTGAATGTAAGTTATTTTTTGTCTTCTGTCAGATTCTGTCAATGAAACAAACCACAATTGTAAGTTATAAGCTAACAAGCTAACCTGACGTAAAAACACAGCTTGACAACTCTCCATATAGACGAATGAAACTCAGACTCACTGTGTTGTAAAGTCAGCGTTTGCATAATGTTTCTGACGCGATGGTTTTAATCTTATTTCATATAATCTGTGTTTATGAGCGTTTGTATGTGACTAACTGAGTGGCTTGAGCTAAAGTCGCAGTCGCGAGCATTAAGGAGGCGTGGCTGATTATGCGCAGTACAGCGCGCGTGCACAATGCAGTATTATTTTTACATCACCTTATAATTGCACGTTCTGCAAACATTAACATAATAAGCAAACATAGTAATTAACTTAGAGATTTAACTTAGAGCTTTAACTTTAAGATTTATATATATTTACATAGTTTTGATACAACAAATAGCAATTTCTTATAGTTTATTTATTTATATTTTATGGTGTAGCCATTAGGTCTACATCATCACCCTCAAAGGCTTTTCGGTAACTTCGAGCTCAATTTAACCATGTCATATGCACTGATTATTGCCTCTCGTTATGGCAAAGCAATTATAAGTGTATCCTTCACATGGTGCTCTCATGACTGTCATAAAAGTAACCCATGATGAACTTGCTACACATTCAGTTCACATGAGCACACACACACACACACACATTCAGATGTGCCTAGGCTACTGTGTGTTTCTAATAATAAACAAAGAGTTTTAATGTATCTTCTATATATAAACTGATATATTTTCAGATTTCAGTGCTGTGAGGTCCTTATTCAGTCCAAATTAAGCGAATGGCTGCCCTCATGTGGGTGACTCAAATAGCATGTGCCAGAGGCACGTGAAGCTTGTAGAGCATTTTGCGGGTTCACGTGTATTACTAATGCAAATAATGGGATAGCACAATCAAAATCTCTGGTAAAATCTGAATCATAATCAAGTCGAGTGCAAACAGAATTCATTTCTGCTGTAAAGAAGTTGATTCGGTTGAGGCAGGCTAACTGTGTAAAGTTCATCAACAATTGAATAAGTTCAATTCAATGATCTCATCATCCATCTCAGTTAAGTTCTCATCAGATAGTGTCAGTGCAGTCTATAATATTGCAGAATATTTAAAGGATAGTAGTTCACTCCAAAAATGAAAATTCTCACCCTCACCACTCACCCTCATGTTGTTCCAACCCTGAGTTTCTTTGTTCTGTTGAACACAAAAGAAGGTAGCTATTTTGAAGAATGCTGGTTATTAACATTCTTCAAAATATATTATTTTGTGTTTAGCAGAAGAAAGAAACTCATACAGGTTCGAAACAAGTTGAGGATGAGTGAATGATGTCAGAATTTTCATTTAAGTAGTTATAGTTTTTCCTTTAGCCTACATGTTTGCTATATGACACCTCATCACGTCATTTTTCTGTATCTTTTGATTTTTTTGTTAAGTCATTTCAACTTAAATTACATAAAAGTGACTTAAGAAATGAGTCCATGATTTGTAAAACAGTTTTAAAAAAAAGTTAAAATTGCTTAACTTATTTTGATGAGTTAAAGCAATGTAAAACATATGTTGTCATAACTTATTTACCATATTTTTTTACATGGCAGTAATGAAATTTTATAGTGACATCCTTTGGCTATACACTTTATGTGGAAGTTTGATTTAAATTATCAGTGATTTATTTTTTATTTATAAATGCATTATGGATTTCTTCACATGTTTAGAGAAATAAACAGTTTTATTCAGCACACTGTAAAAATATTTTCATGATTTGTAATCACTACATTTTTTCTTTTGTCAAATCAACTTAGATAATTTATGTAGTTCAGATAACATGATATTTTGAGTTTCTGATTATTAAATCAATCTCCTTCATTGTATTAACTTAATTTTTCCATTTCAATGAACTTTACCAGGTTACTTATTTTTGTTAAGTTAAACAACAATATTTTTTTACAGTGCAGAATAGTTGAGTCTGAAAGTAAGGGACTGAGGATAAAAATGAACTCAAATGAATTTAATAAGAGTTTATTGGTGAATTATAAAATAAACACTTAATTAAAGGATAGGCTTAATAAACAAACATTTTGAGGAAAGAATTATATATATATATATATATATATATATATATATATATAATATATATATATGTGTGTGTGAAAAAAAAAAAAAGGTCATCCGAGCATTACATCTGGGTCATCTGTCCACATCTGGGCCCTGCAGATCAACCTTTACACACCCCAGGTCTCCTCCTGCAACGCTTCCCTCATGTGTGTGTAACAGAAGAATGCAGCTTTACAGATTGAGTCCCAAACGTGAGAGTTAGCAGGCTCTGTCCACTCTTCACTCTGTCTTACACACGTGTACGTGAGTGTGACAGGAGAGAGAGATGAGCAGTGTTCACTCTCTCTCTCCTCTCACAGCACGTGCCACAGCTCTCCGACTGAGAATAAAGGATTAGAGACAATGCTCCGCCAGTGCCAGCCAGCAGACGACTGAGGGGTTCCTCACAGATAGCTACTTCTACATAGCCTACAGGGCGGACAACGGGGACCACATTTCCCTCTGTGGCTGATTCTTCAAGGTTTCTGAGCACTTGACAAATGAATGTGCAAATAATGTTTTATGTGACTAGTTGACTAATGTTGAGACATTTATCACATGTCCTGCAAATCTGATAGCCTAGTGTTGTTACTGTTAAATAAAAATTAAGGTAGCCATAATGCAAATAATTTTCGGTCATTGAAATAAAGCTAAGATAAAATAAAATATAAATATTAGATGAAAAACTTAAACGTAAAATTATAAATTTTGCTTTGCCAACTTACCGAAATATAAATTGAAGTGCTAAAATTACTAAAACTGAAAAAAGCACACAGCAAAATAAAAGTATATTAACATGAAAACGGAAAATATAAAAATAAAAGCTCTTTTCAAATATTAATAAATATTAGATTTGTATAAATATTTCTAAAATAGCAGTAAAATAGTAATAAATAAACAGTAATACAAAAATAAATTAACAGTCTTGGTAGTAGACTGTCGTCACTGTAAAAAAAGTAGGCTATATGATCAATAAGTTAAGCAATTTTCAACGTTTTTTGTGGAATGAGTTTGAACTTTCACATTAATATTAACAATATTTTGCATTTAAAGGGACAGTTGACATAAAATGAAACTACTCACCCATTATGTTATTATGAACCATTAAAATGCATAAATCACATACGCAGTGATGCTGTCTTCTCATTTGGCTTGTGGTAAGAAGGTGTCAACCAAAGGAAACGTAAAAACAGAGCAGCAAAGTGATTCATGACAATGTGTCTCAGCTTGAGAGTTATTGGGGAAAGCTCATCAATACTTAGGGTGATTAAGTTATACAAGATTAATCTATTTTTTAAGTTAGTTTAATGTAATTTAAGTTGAAACAACTTAAACATCGAAAGTGATTGTACTTAAAAAAAATTAGGGCAGAAACCTTTTTACACTGACTGTTAAGTTAGTTATACGGTTCGGGTTAGTATTTGACAAGTTACTTACAGTCAGTAATGTCTTTTGGGGAGCATCAAAATAAAGTGTAACATATTGAGCAGACAGTCAACCAATACTCTTGACATACAGTTGCAAAGTTACTTATACTCAGTAGAATATCTATTGTGGACAATTGAAATAGTGTTGCCGAATCTTTTAATACAGAATCATTGTTGACAAAAAAATAATAATAATAAAAAAAAATACTAAATAATTGTGGAGAAGACAGAAAAGCAGGTATTTTACTTTACTAAAACGTTTAATTAGATTCTATTTTTATATGCGTATGTACTTTTAAGTTTCATTTTAAGCAATTTTGTTTGTGCATTTGTCTTAAAAAAATATTGCAGTTCTAGCTTGCTGGGGGTTTAACTAAACGGAATGACCTAGATTGTTTTTATGGATTTCATTTTCTTTCAGTTATAATAATATCCCTGCAGAAAAGTTGAAGATTCACCCTTAGCATTTAAGCAGTGATTAGCTTTCCCCAATAACTCTCAAGCTGAGACACATTGTCATGAATCACTTTGCTGCTCTGTTTTTACATTTCCTTTGGTTGACACCCAGGTTGACACCTTCTTACCACAAGCCAAATGAGAAGACAGCATCACCGCATATGTGTGATTCATACATTTTAATAGTTCATAATGACAGAAGGGTGAGTAGTTTCATTTTTATGTCAACTGTCCCTTTAAATGCAAAATATCATTAATATTAATGTGAAAGTTCAAAGAATACTCATTCCACAAGAACAGTGACACAAAAAAAACACCCGGAGTCATATTTTAGTATAAATACTATATTTTTATTTAAATATTTTACAACTTGGAAAACATATTTACAGGAACTTATCTTGCATTGTTACACTGTACACACAGAAAGTGTAGTTCTCATTTGCACATTGTCTGCTTCAGAGACTGAGAGACTCATCTTGACGGCAGAAGCACCATAGAAACAATCAAATAAGAGAAGGACAGGTGATACAACTGAAAGTGACGACACTGCTGAAAGCGACACCCAAACGAGACACGTAAGCTTTGCCACACAAAGGCCTCTGGATGGGAAAGTATGAGATTTTAAGGCGTCTATGGTATGGTAATGGAGCCACTGCCATCCGGATTCACTCATAGTGAAACACAGACACAGATTTGATTAGCGTTCACTCATTATCAGCCCAAGTCAGGGAGGCAAGTTTCCTTAAATTAGGATGCAAAAACATTGCTCTATATTAAAAGTGCAGCTGATTTGTTTGGGTTGGGCCACAACAAAAGCCTTGTGAGTGTTGACAGACAAAGTGGCAAAACCCCGACACTAAAATGTCTCAGTCACGACATCATCTCATGCAAAAACACTCACTAAAGGCAAAACGTGCTTTTATGCACCACCAGTGACATCAAACAGAACTGCATGTTTTTAAACCAGTTTAATTGGCTTTGTTCACACAGCACACAAGTCCGATTTATTTTTCATATTCTATCCCTAGGACTGCTTTTTCCATCAAAATCAAATCAGATTGTTCCAACAGCCAATAAATCGGTTGAGTAAAGTACTAAAAGTGGTACCAAATACTTTCTGATCCAACAAATGAAAACTCTTTGTATATTTGGAAACAGATCAAGTCATTTGTATGATATTTGTGGTGCGTTCACACAGAGACATATGCTAAAAATCCAAAAATGTATGTTTTATATAAAGTTTTGTTCCAAGGATGTTTAGACCAGATTTTTTAAAATTTTATTTATAATTGAATTAAATTATTTATTTCCCCGTTCCTGACACACAAAAGTAATTATTACCTGTATGAACAAAGCCAAGCATTAGACTCACGCCATTGGTAGAGCTGGTCAAACACACAGGCTGCAATTCAGTTTGCTGCCTCTAGAGGCACTGCAATTACACACATCACCTTTGACTAACATAAAAATGACTTAATTGATCTTAACGATTGCACATTACTGGCTGTTTAGTTGATTTCCATTTCATTTATCTAGAAAGAAAAGCAGACATGGGACACAACGGTGATTCCGGCATATACTCTGTAACATGTAATGGTTAGTTTGCAGTCTTCAAAGGGTGAGACCTTGGTCATGCTGGTCTTATGGCTTTCTTGCTTTGGTTTTCTTTACAGATTACACAATGTGGATTTGAGACATTGACTTCAACACGACCACGACCCACACTTCTGGTCTAATTTTGTTGGAGGCACAACTGAGGACTGGCTTATAGATCTGTAGGTGGGGAACTAGAGCCATGCCTTTATGGAACATATGAGGATGGCAAACCTCACAAAACATTGAGTTCCATGTTTAGTTGTACAGGACTTTGAATATGAAAGCTCAAAGCATATTTATTCACTGGCTATAGTTTGTCATCCTGGGCATGCATGGGCAAACTGGAGAAACTAAAACTAAAAAGAAGACCCATTTTAAAAACCTGTACTGTGTTCCCAATCTCAATAGACTGGACAAAAATATAACCATTGTGTATAGTGTTTTGCTTTTCATACAGAAGAATCGGTGTTCCATTTTATTGAAAGACTGCAAGGCAATCACTCTCAACACTCAATCAGCTTGAATTGTCACTTGTGAAATAAAATCGTCATCAGCTCACCCAGTTTATATTGTACAGGTAAAAACATTCATATAAATAAATGTAGTAACTCACACATTTATAACTTACAAAAAATGAAAGCAGCACATGAATGTGAAAATAGTCTCTAGAACCAATCTAGAGCGACAAAAAATGTGTTAGATACCCTTCAATCAATTAGAAAAATAACCCAAGCCTCACTAGGGAGCACAGAAAACGCCAACAGGCCTTACAGTCGATCCATAAAGACCAAAGTTCTGTTGAATCTTGTCCACTAAAAGCTAAATATTTATAAAAATAAACATTTCTATACCCGACCTTTCGATTCATGAAAAGCATTGCCAGATGCTAGCCATTTGTGCGTGTAGACTTTCAAACTCAAGAGCTGAAGTCATGTAAATATACATCCAACACGCATTCACAGTCAAAGTCAGCGAGTGTATCTGTATATTTGCGGATTGTGACATTCTCTGGTATGACGTCTGTGCAGTTTAGTTTCTATCTCTTATAAATCAAACACAAGATGTCCATTTTAACCCAACTCCTTCCCGCCTGAACTTGCAATCCATTATCTGAGACCTCAAAAAGTGACAGTGAGAGTGAAGGCTGTAAAACTCTAGAAGCAGACATGAACTAGTCAGCACATACTTAAGCACTTGCATTTCCCAACAGGTTTAAATCTAGCCAGGCCTCCTTCTGAACATTAACCGACCTTTCCTTTACAGCTTAACCAAAGTTGACCAACAACCAAACGGGACACTTATTATACACGTACACGCACGTAGAAGCACTTCATATAAACTTCAGAGACGCTCACAATTTCCTCTCAACAAGGCATAGACAATCAACCATTTAACAACAAATCTACTTTTCATTTGAAGTATGACAGCTCCTTCCATCAGTAACCCCTTTTTGTTGTAATGCATGGCCCGTCTTGCCCGTACTAGAAATGACACAGATTTACAACACAGGTGAAAGATTCTCAAAATCCTTTTGGGAGTGAGGTCATCAACTTTGGACTGTTTATAGGCAATGTAGTACCACTTGCATCAACACCCAACCACAGGTTCGTGCTCTCCTCTGCGTTGACTGGAGATCTACTCGAGAAATGGAAGAATGGAAAGGGTAATTGGAGATGTGAGATGGGGAGCAGTGCAATAGGACGGGGTGGAAGACACAGGTGTACGAGAGGAGCAAGCTCCACTGAGCGTGCTCAGTCTGTGTATTCTGCCACAATGGACAGCAGCACTGTGATGTCATCAGGCTTCCCCCCTGAAAAGACAAGAAAACAATGACAGTCAGTTTCTCCGATTACGGACATTCAAAGATGATTTGGGATCACAACGGTAATGGAAATCAAGGACCTCTTTTTGTAGACTCACCTCTTACATTCAGGCCGTTGTCACAGGCAAACTGGGCGAAAGGGGACATGTAGTTGGGGTCGTAGGCCAACTGATGAGCCTGTTCAGCGATGCTGCGGGCAGTCTGCTGGATACTATCATAGTTGGTGTTCTGAGGCAAATTAAATACAAAACATGATTGATTGGAAAAAAAATAGGAACAGTCTTATATATAGGTCAGGGGGATTAATTGACAGTTATACAGCCATTTTGAGATTATTGAAATGGGCTGATAACGTGAAGGAAAAAAAAAAAGAGAAAAACGTAGAAAATGCAAGAATACTCAAAAGTATTGTGTTATATTACAGTCATTATAATTGTATAATTACAAAAAAAATAAAATGAAAAAGGTGGAAAGTGCACAATTAACCATCTAAACTGTTAGAACAACATATCGACCAGCGGGAATAATCAGCCGTCATCGCTTATGTTAAGATTATTCGAACGGGCCGATAACCTGACGAAAAATGAAAGGTGGAAAATTTACATATAACCAATTATGGTGTTAGACCAATATATACTGTATATCGGCCAAACAGTTTTAATTTGAGATTATTGGTATCTGCCAATAATCGTGGACACGGTCCAGTTTTGTATTATTTGCCATCATAACATTGTCACTCCATTCTTGGTATTGGCCAAAATACAAATCAGTTGACTGTCACCCAAGTAGGGTTCATATTTATTGAAACTATTGTCTGTACCTTTAGTTTCTTGAGTTCTTGCAGGATCATGTAGTCCGGCATGTTGTCAAAGAGGCCATCAGAAGCAGTCAAAATAATGTCCCCTAACTGGACATCAAAGGAGGCGCTATCTGCCGCCTCAGGACTGAAAGAGACAGAGATAAAAAGACATGCAGTTAGACTTCTGCACAGTTTAACAATATAAGACGTACATTGCCCATGCCAACCTTCTACAAAACCAGTGTATTTCAATAACTATGCCACCCACAATACAAACAAATTGAGGCCTAGTCTTAAATATTGTTATGAAAAATTGAATGTCACCTTCTGAATTGAACTGATAAACAAGAACAACGCATTATGCCAAGTGTAAGGGATCACAGTTCTATTTTTTAATGGGCAACGATCCAGTCATTTTGTAGAAAAGTTAATAGGGAAACAATGATCTAATCCACCAAATTAGAATGAGACACATGATGAGGGTTGAAACTCAAGTAGTAGGGCAAGAGAGTAAGAGGACACAGATCAGTCTGACCTAAACGGCGGGAAATGGACACTCGGGTTTAAGAGAACTCGTTCAGACCCAACATGACCTCTGGACCAAATTCAAGTAGTCAGGTTGTTTTCTTGGAAACTAGACTGGCCTCTTCAAGCTCCAAATCCCTTGAGACCGAATTTTAGTTTAATCCATCTTAGTGCATTGGGTAAGTACTGGAGCTCCGATTTTAAAAAGAGGACAGAAAATATCAAGACTTCAGAAAGTGATATTTTGAATGGCAAAATTTTACAGACGAAATGCAGTCAATAGGAATCAGTGCGATTGGGAACTCCCCACACAGATTTTGAATCGGATTCATGTGCACTTTTGACAATGGGTAATGAATGGATCAACTTTTTCATCCAAATTTCACCAAAGTTTTGCCAATGTGACCGATTATGTGGTGAATGGAAATTGGAAATTTGGAATAACAGCTAAAATGTTGGCCACATTAGAAAAAGAAAGCCAATGGAAATGTACAATGTTTAAAACTTGCCGCTACTATGCTAGACAGTTGAGGTTGTTTTCCAGAGCTCTGCATCAATCTATCGCATTTGTTTGCCCAAAGATTGTAAGTATGAATGCAAAGAAAAAAACACAGCTCTCCCAAACAAGTTGCACAATTTGAAGTATCATTCATGTCTTTAGCCCAAACAGCACTAGATAAGTTACTTCAGGATAGGAAATTGTTTGAAGTACAAAGTCGCTTTCCAGATTACTATCTCTGATTCTCTGTGGTAGAATGAACTTTCACCTGATCTGCTGAGAATATTGCAACCTTCAAGAAGATGCCTCGGCTCTTCCATTAACTGAAACCTCAACCACAGAGGCACTTTGATAACTCTGTGGTACCGAGACCATTATTGACTCTTGATATGATAAATTGCTTGTGGTGCTCCTTACATGTAAACTGCTTTAGATAAACATGTCTGCAGATATTGTAAGATAAAAATATAAACTTTGTGTTAATGGCAAAACATTAGAATATTGATTGGCCATTTTGCAATGAAAATAAAGAACTAAATGCATGTAAATGAGTGAGTCGTCACACTTAGAAGCCAACACTCAGGTCAGATTCCTTGCTGCACATGAGAAGGTTAAATGAGTGTTTTCTGTGGCGGTCTGTCATAATGGACTCCGGACGACACAAAAATATTAAGGTCCCATGCAAATTTAGCAGGGCACAAGGTGCTTAAAATAATCACACCCTCTACAGAGACTTGGGGGGGAAAAATGTTTTCAGCACATCCCTGATTGGCTGATTTGGTTCACCACCCTCCCTCTTTGATTGGAGGTTTTGGGTGTTTGCGTGTGTTTGTTTGGATGTGTGCCTGGCAGTGAGGAACTAGAATCACATGGCCTTGACATTGAGGATTTGAGCCAACACACACACAGTGCTTTTGAGGGAACGAATTGGCTGTTTGCACTACCACAGGGTTCAGGAGAATCCCAGCTAATATCTGCTAACACTGCTCAATCTAATCTAGTGGAAAACCATTTAATTAATAACCATTTAACCATCCAGGATAAGGAATATATATATATATATATATATATATATATATATATAATGTTGGATTCAAAATTTCAAAAACATTTCAGAAAAAGTTTACACTTAATGACCATGATCAAATCAAACTACATAGTAATTAATTTACATAGAAATAATTTACATAGAAAATATGGTACTTTTTGAAGTAAATAAATTCAAAAATACCCCCAAAATAAAAAAAAAAACACCATAAATGGATAGACAAAACTTTATCGAAGACAGTGATATAACATTTATAATAAATAAAAATTAGGATCACACCTGAGTCCTCTGTGCCCACATTTGTCCACAATTACAGGATTAAGGGCTATAAAGTGAATACTGTTTGAGGGCTACATGACTTTGATTTGGCAAATGTTTTACAATTTTTCATAATGTTTTAACAAAAGTAATAAAATATTACAATATAAAGTATTACAATACAATATATAATACAATATAAAATATTACAATATATATTATATACATTTTATAATATAAATGTATTTTTGAATAATAGATCCAGTAAAAAAAGACAAGACAAGAAATGACAGTGCTAAGAGGAGGGAATGTGGCTCCAACACTAGGTGCATTTTACACTATTAATTGATGTAAAAGCCACACGGCCTCCACAGACCGACATCTGTGACACTGTTCTGTAACAGGCCACCATCTGTGATACTGCAGTGAGTGTATCGGCTATCACCTGTCGCTCAACACCACTCCCTCAGCCCCCGGTGGAGCTATGGACAGCTGGAAGGGTGTGTTGAAGTAGTGCTGCTGCTCATCTGACCGATGGACCACCTCTCCACCCCGAACCACCAAGAAGCCCGAGTCTCCCAGGTTACAGGTGTGTATCCTGTGACTCCGACGATCCAGAACGACTATACAAGCTGTGCTACTCCCTAGAGGAGAGACAATAAGAATGAAATGGAGAAAATGAGAGATTATTGAATAAATATCTAATATCTATACTATTAGCATCAGAGTTGCATAAGTTATGTGAAATAAAGTTACCTTTTGTTGAAGTAAGAATTTCATACACTAAAACATGAAATGAATTTTTGCTTGCACATAAAACAAATAAATGAAAAACAATTGTTTACATACAAATCAACTGAAAACCTTTGTCCCCATAACACAGTCATGTAACCTACATACTGTGCATGACATCATGTCCTCACTGCAAACGGGTGACAATGCATTGTGGCTCCTATTATATAAGAAGCTGTATACACTGCAAGCAGCGTGTGACGACTATGCAGGGTCAAACTGTTGCATGTAAAGTATGTCAAGGGGGACAACAGGGGCACAATCAGTAATGCTTTACAGCAAGGTTCAGTTTGCTAGCATTAAACGCAAAAAAAATTATCTAGGTTAATACTGAAATTATATACTATTGTTCATTTTCAATAATGTTTGTTCAATATATTTCAGTTAATGAATAACATTTAATATATATATATATATATATATATATGCACACACACCATTCAAAACAGTCAGTAAGTTTCTTTTTCATGATCTTTTTTTAGATCATGAAAAAAATTATCTATTTGTTATCCATCAAAAATATGAAGCAGCACAATTATTTTTGAAGAATCGTGATAATGAAGACTGGAATAATGATGCTGAAAATTTAGCAGGAATACACTTTTATTATATAATTCTATATTTTTGATAAAATAAAAATGTGTTGAACACTGAGTAGAAGAGACTTAAAAAATATATATATCGAACCGTCCACAAACCTCTGTAAAAATTTTGATTCATAAATGCTGCAAAAGTATTGCTCATCAGTGTTAGTTCATGATGTGGTGAGGGTTTCTCAGTTTATCACTAAACACAACCTTTCCTTCTCTCGATCCCTGGCCAAGCCCAAGCGACCTGTCCTACAACGGTCACCTACAGACCTTTATCGCTCCACATGCCTTCCAAAAATAAAAGCAGGTCACATTAAAGGAGGCAAACAACTCAGCAAGAGGAAGAACATGGAGTGACAGCCCTTGATGTCAGGTTTCAGCAAAAAGGTTGCATGCTTGGTAATCCAACGCCCTCCTCAAGAATCTAACTTCGGCTTTGCTCTTACAGTCACATCAGAAACATGCGAGGTTAAAACCACACCCTGAACACCTGTTAACTTAAACCTTAATAAACATGAACATTTCTGCTCTGTGAAAACTGCTCCATGACAACACTAAATAATATTTTCATAACAAGAAAAAGATAGTTTCAAATAACCTGATCAACAATCAACACACTATTGCAGTATTTTAAATTGATATGTCAAAAATCTATGTAAATAGATCTATTTACATATATCTATGTAAATAGATATATCAAATTGATATGTTAAATTGATATGTCAAAAATTCCATCCATTAAGGAACTTTCGGAATAAAATGTTTGTCTACTGATATTTTTAATCCAACATCCAGCTGAAACGGCTCTGGACGATCATCACTCATCCACCTTGTTCTTTATTCTACAGTATGAACTTCTATTGTGGCGTTTACACAAGTAGATAGTTCTAATTTTCCTCGTGTGTGTGTGCTGCACATGAGCACCTCAAAACTACTCACTCTAATGATGACCTTTTTTAAATCAACCATCAAGTTTTATCGATTCAATTATAATCAACAATTGATCGATTCAATTATAATCAACAATTGATCAATTATCCCTACTCAGAAACTAACTGAAATCACTGCTTGTTTAAAATATTAATAATTTCTATTAAATAATGCTAAAATAACACACTATAAGACAACTGACAGCAAAATCTGCTGGTTTCCAGCTCTACAATTGTCAAAAAAAACCCCATCATTATAAACTAGGGCTGTCAAACGATTAATCGCATCCAAAATAAAAGTTTGTGTTTACATAATATATGTGGGTGAACTGTGTATAATTATTTTGTATATATATATATATATATATATATATATAAATACACACACATGCATGTATATTTAAGAAAAAAATATTATTTATATATAAAATATTGATATTTAAATATAATATAAATTATATAGAAATCTATATACAGTACATGAAAATATTTCTTAAATATATACAAGCATGTGTGTGTATTTATATATATATAAAATAATTATACGCAGTGCACCCACATATATTATGTAAACACAAACTTTTATTTTGGATGCGATTAATCGCGATTAATCATTTGACAGCCCTATTATAAACATCATTATCATTATGGTAGGAAAAAACCTAGACAATAGTTAATACCCTACATCACGACGCAAGGCCAGTGAGTCATCCTGCAGTGGTTTAATTCATTTACCCTATAACAATGGCAGTGCGTGAGTGGTTGTTTGGATATGATCTTACCCAGCAGTGGTACTTTGTTCTGCAGGAGTTCATAGTAGCCGGAGGTCAGAATGCCTACAGGGCTGCTGGGAGTGAACCGGCCCTCCTTCACGAGCCGCTCGCACGTCCTCATCAGTGTGGCGGAGAACTGAGATGGGTCAACACCGTAATCCCTCCAGCCCCCGACACCATCCGCAACACCTGAGACAGAAAGAGCGGGGAGAGATATTGTTATTAAGTGTAAAAAACAGCCAGACCAGTGTTAATGCTAACCAGAAGGCTTCAACACCATGAAACAACATGAAAAGAAAGGAAGAGATGGCAGTTTTTGATGCCGCAGAGACAGATGGCAGCTGCCACAAACCTCCTTCCTGGCCTGCCGTCTGACTGCGCATTGTAATGGTAATGCCAAACGGCTGTCTGCTACAACAACGTGACTGACGCCTTCATTCAACAAAGACGTTGTCAGACATTAGGAGCGTAATGATGCATGATGTCACGATATATTGCAATACAAAAATGCAACATGTATTGTGGATAGTGCCAATTTGTATCATGTATAAATCATGTATAATTACTGAGAAAAATGTGTCAAAACTACTACATATAATTTTGAATATAGCGTAAAATAATGCAATGGGGGAATCTAGTCAGAGAGCAACCATATTGGTCTAAAATAATTCTGTATTTTAGCTTCAGAACCATGAATTTGTTTATTCTGGTGTCATCATTGATTGTCCCATACATTGGGTTTCCAGCACCGAGTCCAAGCCAATTAATTTACATCCACAATGTTAAACCAAATTTAGTATTTTAATCAACAGTATTTTTTTTAACCTTTCATCATGTGTAACAATAATATCGTATCATGAGTTCAGTATCGAAGTAAGTATTGAATCGTGACATGAGGTATTGTTACACTCCTATTAGACGCATATCTTGTGAAGCCTTTGAACTTCTCTTGAAAAATATTCTCACTTAGATTTCACGAATAATGACAAAGAAACGGCAAGCAAAACGTTAAATTAAAAAAAAAAAGAAAAAAAAATATTTTCTTGTAAAATCTACTCCAGTAATCTTTGTTTTATTTACAACTTTGTTATTCTTTACAAAATCTAAACTCAAGTACTAAGCTATAAATGAAATTAATCCATTTAGGATTTGTCACAAAGATAAATCCACCATTTCTTTTAAAAAGTAGTTAGTTACACAACAGACAAACTAACAGCTATTTACGTTGAAGATATTTAAAGAGACATTTTAAATAACTATCTGATGAAATACTATGAAATATGAAACACCTAAATGTGTGAGTCCAATATAGCATAAAACACTGTGTTGCTGTGTTATGTTGCGCTACACTGCTACTTTCCTCGTTACTGGAAAAGTTACACTGTTTTGAAAACAGCCGAGATACCGTCGCACTACTGGAAAATGTTGTCTACCCAACTCTGATACTGTGATACATCTTACTCTCACTTCATATTGTAAGCACACACACGAAGAATTAAGAGATTGCATAGGCACAAAAGGAGATCCAGGCTCAAAAGGAATGAAGGGCAACTTATCAGAGTTACACATGTTTTAGAGCAGCACAAGTCAAGCCACCATTAACATCTCAATGGAGCTTTGCAAACAATACCAACTGTTCATCACAAAGCTGCAAACATACTGAAGTTAGAGTTGGAAAAAATCTTCAAAGAGCAGAAAGAATGGGATGCTTGACGTATACTGTATCGTAAGACCTTGAAGGAAAAAATATGTTTATTACTGTCATATGACGTAATATTAAATGTCAGCCAAGCCAAATAGCGAAGTCAGATGAGTGATTCAATGACTCAAATCTTTATTCAACAAATGTTCGTATTTAGTTTCACAAATATTAACCTGAGACGGCCATATTTACCATAGCAAAAGGCCAAAGGGAACGGCTCTCAGAGGAAATGTCCATCTGTACACCAGCAAACACTTGAACGTATTGAAAAAAATGTTAAGTTTTACTTCATTGCTGCACAAAATGACATTTTTACAGTATTAATCAAAGTTAAAATTTCTTGAAAATAGTACAAATGAATCCTATGAAATTAAAATGAATGAATATTGCTTTAATAAATGCCAGCAACACCAACACTGAAAAGTGTTTCATCTAACTGCTAATGTGATTTCAAAGGTTCACACCCTCCTGAAACTTCAACATGAACCACTGAGAAAACAGATCACTGCAACAATAAGGGCTCCAAACAAACCCTCTAGCTGTTTCTCAAGGGCAGCTCATTAAGCTAAAGTGAAGACACCTACTACTGACCTTTAAAGACTTGTGATCGTAAATAGGCGTCAAGCAGACCAAGTGGGCAGAGACACAGACACACATTTAAATGTAATTAAGTATATAAAGGCAGATGATATTGCGTGATCAGGACTATTATAGAAATGATTGGACTAGGAAACAGTGGCCATCCGCTCGTTCATTAGCTTTGGTTACGAAAGTAATATTTCCATTCATTTTTCTCATACAGGGAATTTTTTTAAGTCTTTGTTAAACCATTATAAGCAGTGGTGGAGGAAGTACTGAATCTCAGTACTTAAGTAAAAGTACAAATACCCAGGTAAATATTTACTTTAGTAAAAGTAGAAGTAACACAATGACAACCATACTTAAGTAAAAAGTAAAAAGTACTTTATTTTAAATGTACTTTAAGTATTAAAAGTAAAAGTACTTGCATAACAATTTATTATCTTAATGTCTATTTTCTAATGATTAATAAAACATTTAATTCTAACTCATTCAACCTAATAGCCTACTCCTATAATGATGTTCAATAATGATGGAAAAAAGTCACCATTTCTGAAACAAGCTTGCAATTAGGCAATATCATGCTTATCCTTACTATATGTTAATAACTATGTTTGGCAGTAGACGCAATTCATTTATGGTGTAATTCTGAACCTCTTGGCTTGCCATAATCCTAACCAAACGTATATTACACAGGTTGTGTTTCCTATGCACGTAAAAACAAATTTTCGCGTATGAGTTGCATGATAAACACACTGCGTGTGAGACGCATTTAGTTGATGTATCTATGGCAACCAAACGTCACTGGTGAGACAAACGTGCAACGAACGGACGGTCAGATTACGTTTTGTCAGGGGAAAAACTGATCAGAAAATGTAACGAAAATGTAACAGAAGTTGTAGAAATGTAGTGGAGTAGAAAGTAGAATAATTGCTGCAAAATGTAACGAAGTAAAAGTAAAAAGTATGCACTATTTATTGTACTTAAGTAAAGTAAAGATACGTGAAAAATGTACTTAAGTAAAGTAACGAAGTATTTGTACTTCGTTACATTCCACCACTGATTATAAGCCACGAACCAAAACCAACAAGGTGAATCAAAATATCACAAACTTAGATTTGCAGCAAAGTTGATTTATTTAAAAAACAGACCCAAATAAAGTATAAAAGATTAATATTATGTATTTAAGAGTGAATGAACTATAATCCCATATAGTTCAATAGTGGATCAACATAGAACCATTTAAATGTTTATTGTGTATAAAGAAACAGTATATTTTATGTTTATTTCAAAATATTATTATTTAAGTAGTTTGTTGTAAGCATAGGGAGACTGACAGCGCTTTATTTTGCCACAATTCTCTGATTGGTGTATTTTTTGCAGAATCATGGGTAATTTAATAAGGATTCTACTGTTTGCCGAGAATAAGAATTATTTTTAAAAATAAGTTAAAAATGAGTGTGCTGATGGCTTCAGCAAAAACATATAGGCTACTATTAATTAAGAACCGGGTAGCTCGGCCTGTTAACGTTTTAGAAGTTATCGTTAAAATCGATTCATATGTAATGTTTACTTCCAAACGTTGTGCTCTAAAGCCGCGGTGACACTAGACTTTGAGCACATGAATTCCGCGTCCCAATTCAGAGGCTGCATCCTTCAAAGGCCGGTTGAGTCACAGCGGTGCGAAGAAGGCTATCCCAATTCAAGCTTCTGCAAATGCATCCTTAGTTTCCCGAGAGATGAAGGATTCGACAGATGGATCGTTCATGGCATTTCCTATCCCAGAATTCATTGCGCGCCAGTGAGGACAGGACTTTGAGAGAATGTGTCAAATTACAATTTAAAGGAGTAGTTCACTTTTAAAAAAAAACTTTTGCTGATAATTTACTCACCCCCATGTCATCCAAGATGACCATGTCTTTCATTCTTCAGTCGAAAAGAAATTATGGTTTTTGATGAAAACATTCCAGGATTTCTCCATATAATGGACTTCATTGGGTACTAAACGGTTCAAGGTCTAAATGACAGTTTCACTGCAGCTTCAAATGGCATTAAACGACACCAGACGATGAATAAGGGTCTTAGTGAAACGATCAGTCATTTAAAAAATAAAATTATCAGCAAAAGTTTTTTTTTAAAAAAGTGAACTAATCCTTTAAGTATTAGGTTTCAACTTACTCAAGTAATGACATGGTCTACAAACATGAATTTAACATATATTTGGACCTTCTAACATTTGGACCTTCTTTGAAAGAGCTTGCGTTTCCGGTCTGATACATTTGCATATGAATGAAATGAAAAGTGTATTGTGATCAGACGACCCCTTTACAAGACCTGGAATGGTGACAGTTTGTACCAGCACGTTTTTGCACTTACATTTAGTAGCCAATAAATGCAGTAACTTGTATTTTGATCCAAGTTATGTGCAACCACAGTAGCTAATTTTAGGGCTGAACAGCTGGCCTGCTGCTCACGTGTTTGCTAGTATGTAACAAAAGCTGGAGAACCTTCATTGTAGCACATGGATGTATTAGGCATTAGGGAACTCATTGTTTTCTTGTATTTTAAAATCATTGCACATTTTCCCCATGAAACCCCTCCAGTATGTTTTTTTAGGATTACAATATTATGTTGTAGAAACAGAAAGAGGATATGTCTTTTGGAGCAAAGGACAATGAAGCCGCCTGTGCGTGTCGCTGTCACGTGGAAGCGAATAAACAACATGGCGGCAACCATGCTCAACCATTCTGACCTTTACAAAGAGCTCCTGCACAATGTACAAGTAAGCCCTCAAGCCTCCTGCATGTTATAATAGAGTGCAATTATAGCTCATATCGTTCTTTCATGGGATCAAACTACTTAAAACATGAATATTCATAGCGTACAATCATCGAATCACTAGAGGCCAATAAATTACACTCGATCGGAGAAATCTATTCATGTACAGCACACCTGACTTCACAACATGTCATCTATATCCAATGTTTCCGTGATGGAAAGGTTTTAACGTTACATGGAAATTATTCTAGTTTCTGCCGCTAGTCGCGCTCAAGGGGTTCAGCAGCCTTTCTGGGTGAAAGGTCAACCCGGATTACCCAAGCTTATTTTGCATTAAATTTAGATGTTATGAGATATATAATATGTAGAATCGGTTGCCCGGAGCTGCTTGTTTAAAAAAGCATGTTAAATCCACTAACGCGATCAGGAATATCGCAAAATATTGGAAAAGAGGGAGGTTATTTAAGGTGAGGGCTGGACTGATCGTCCCAAACACCCTCTCCATCATGAAATGAGTGCTGATTAACCCGTGAAGGTCATTTTCGTAGTTAAAAGCCCTACAACCCTAACAACAAGTGCATAACTGTTATCTCATATGGCATTTGTATACGTTATGAATCACACTGAAATCTGGTGTCAGGTTCACTCACCCAAAACGTCCGCAGACTTGTGCCGGGCAATGAAGCAGGCATCATCGCCGTAGCACATGCCTTTCTTCAGGATCCCCTTCCGAAAGTCCTTCCCGAAGCCGCAGCTGGCCGTGATCAGGCTGTAGTCTCTGCCGTCCGTTTGCGAGAGTCCGCCCAGGACAGCCCTGGCAACGATCCTGCCATAGGAAAGTACCGATAACATTCCCCTCCTCCGGTAAACGGTAAGCGTGTAGATGCCGAGCCCGTGTCCCGTGTGTCTAGGATCCGCGCGCGCGTGCACTAACGTTACCTGCGCCTGTGTGCTCCAGCATTCGCAGATCAACCACACAAGCCAAGCCAACAAACCGAGCCCGTTTAAAAGTGATACAGAGTCTTCTTTACTGAAACCCGGACACGTTAAATGTATGGCTGTTTTATGTCTTAGCGGATATAACAGACAAAGTTCCTCCAGTACACTCCATCCTATCGCACATCCTCCGTGTACTCGCTCGCATTCCCCGTGTTCCGGAGACGAGCACATACGGGACCCGGGGGGCGTCACGTGACCCGCTGTGGTGACGTCAGAGCGTAGTGGAAACCCAAGGACGTAGTGGAAGAACTTGGGAAGAACACGTGCTGCTGCTGAGTATTCATTACTAGAGTCTTGCGACTTCTGTATTTTACTGTCTATGCTTCTGTGACGCTTTATTTTTTTCCAGCGCATATGCCATATACTAATGATCTATTTTGTATTGTTGTGGAGCATTTCAATTAAGAGTGAGAGTGTGTTTGTGTGTGATAATAAAAAGTATATCTACTGATATTATATAAATGTAATTATAAAAATGTGTGTGTGTGTGTGTGTGTAAAAATGTGTGCATATATATTAATGTGTGAGTGTACTAAAATATAAAAACGCATATATTATCTATTATAGATATTATTATATGTAATATGACATTGATAATAATAAAAAGTCCAGTGGTTGCGAAAACAAAAATATATCACTGGAGATAGAAAATGGTTTATTTTTCTTGTAGCCAAATATTACATAAAGCTATTCATTTGACAATATCTTGGATGGCACTTTGCAATTATCAAAAGAGTATGGCATTTTTTAATTGTTAAAACCAGGTAGACCGTTTGACCTACTCATTTATTAAATTATATTTTACTGTTATAGATGAGCCACAGAAATGGCTGGGATCATAGACAGTAAAGGGCTGGGATCTGCAGCTTTGCAATCCCACAATGCATTTCACTTCCTAGATACGAGTGACACAACGCGATGTAACCAAGCATGGCGGCGTTGTGCTGTCTTTTTATTCTGACATATTTAGAAACCGCGTTCTGTATTGAAGACACGAACACCACAGGAAACATTAATGTTGCACTCAGAGACACAAACGACACGTCTCCCGGTCGAAATGAATTGCTTAATTTCACGGAGCTGGGAGTCAGTTCTACTCCGTCTGATGTCTCTCCTTCAACAGCCTGGACGCCCGAATCCGTGACCGCATTACCGGACCAGACCGAGAGCTCGGAGAGCGTCATCCCCAACGCGACCCCCGAGTCCCCGCGAGCCGCCGCGCCAGCACCGCCTCTGCTCCTGTCCGGAGTCCTCCCTGACCCGCTCACCGACGGTAGGGGTGTGATGCCTGCCTAATATGACTGAAACAGTGCATGTTTTCCTCATTTCAGCCTAACTCCGTGTGTGTTCCTCCAGTCATGCAGCTGTGCCCGTGTAACGTGCAGCGCGAGCAGTGCGACATCAACTGCTGCTGTGACCCGGACTGCGCAGAGCAGCTGCCTCTCTTCACTCACTGCTCACCGCACATTGTCAGGTGAACACACTGCAAAACTACATGACATTATCCCTCTCCATGTACATATCTGCTCACTGTGATTTGGGTCCAATTCTCACTAACTGTTAACTACGACTTTTTCCTCAAGACACCCCTCATTACTGCTTATTAATAGTTAGTAAGGTAGTTGTTAAGTTGAGGTTTCGGGTAGGATTAAGAGATGTAGAATATGGTCATGCAGAATAAGAATAACCACATTAATATGTGGTTTATAATACATGATCTATCTATCTATCTATCTATCTATCTATCTATCTATCTATCTATCTATCTATCTATCTATCTATCTATCTATCTATCTATCATAATCTATAAATCCCAAGTGCATATAAAAATCACTTTTTATGTAAACCTATTCTGAGTAGTAATTTGTAATCTAACTCATTTAAATTCAATGTTCATTGCATAATATGACGATTTGGGATTCATATTTGTGATATTGTAATCAAATATGTATGAAGAGGCATTTATTACCCTTTCTGGCTTGATTTTGTGTTTGTGTTTGTTTTTTGTATTTTGTTCTTCTTGACAGTAATTAAATGTTATTTTAGGAAAAAATCAATCCTTATCATGAGTGACTACCTTCTATGGTCCTTACAGTAATGAGCCCAGACTGTGCAACCGGGAGTCTGCGGTCTATTCCTTGAGCTCGACACCAGAGGGTTTATCTCGAGTCCAGGCCACTGTCCAGCGACAGCTCAACCCGGATATCTTCTGCATTCAGACTGCTAACTGTACGTCAATCTGGGAAATCTTTACAATCAAATCAAGCAAATGTTTTCAATCAGTTTAAATTTCTCCCCCGGTTCTTTTTAAGATGAAGAAGGCTTGATGTTTGCGACACCAGAAGTTCCCACTGAGGAGAATTTTGACTCCCTTTTTGGACGATTTTTGGGATTCTTCTTTGGCCGTCTGAGCTTGACCAGTGCACCTCAAAGTCCTGATGTGGGAAATTCATCAGGATACCAGGTAAACTTTTTGAATATTTGTTAATGCGATATTTGTCGTTAGTCCTGTGTGACTTACTTTCTTCTGTTTCAGTTGTAATCTGGATGACACTTACTTAAGCATCAGGTTACATGTGGAAACAGCACTGGAATAGATTTAATGTGATTATAACCGATCACTGTCTGCACTGATGTACAGTTTCACCCTCTCTGCCAATGTTTTTACTTTTATTAAAAAAACATATTGATTTTTAAAATGTCAGGATGGTTGTTTTTCTGCAGAAGTGGAATGCGTAACTTTAAAGGAATTGGATTACTGTGTCTGTTCGCCATTTAACTTGACAGCTTGTGTTAATGTTCTCTTGAATTGATCACTCTTGTTACCAATATTTAAGCAATCCTTGTGTCTCTGTTCTGCCCTCAGTATGGGGATGTTATTCTCACAGTGAATGCGGAGGGGGAGCAGGAGTTGTTCACCTTTCCTGCCGCCGCAGGCACAGCTCACTGCTTAGACGCAAACCCTGCAGGTAGACAGAACAAAAATATTTTAGAAAATGTTAATGCTGCATATAATGTCCATAAAGTTAAGCTAAGGGATTCTTGCATCTATTTTAATAGCAACAGCAAGCTACATGGCTTGAGGTAATATTAGCTATGTTTCCATCCAAAGTTGTGAATTTAACTTCTAATTCTTGAATAGTGTTGATATTTTAATCTGTGTCGTATGTATCTGTATTTATTTGTGCCGGGGGACTGCAGATGTAAATTAGCCTAAGGCTAACTCTGGTGTAATGCATCAAATGTTTACATTTATGTTATCAATTGCACATGGTCCCTTTAAATAAAAATCAATACAATACAATACAATACATAAAATTGTAATATTGCATAAAACATTTGCGAATAAAGTAGCATTTCTATCCCATGTGTTCAAGAGAATAAAATCATCACTTCTTGGGAAATCCAATTTTGTTGCGTATCAATGCATTTATTTGGTAAATGTGTTGCCACATTGTAGTTTATGCGCATGTATTCTTTCTTATTGGATACAATTTTTGGATTTAAAAGTTTTCTAATGCACATTTTCAGAATTTATGCACATCTTTGCGTTTCCATCCAATATGTTTTTATGTAATATCCCAAAATTTGCATAAAACAGGTGGATAGAAACATAGCTATTCATATCTGTAGCAGCAACAGCGTGGTACAATTCACATGTCAAAGAGTAATATATAGAGGTTTGTACATATATTTGTTCATATATTGGGGTTTAACCACTTGCACCACACTAGATCTTCTTCTCTTTTGCTGAACACAGATTTCCCTGTTATTTTGCAGGTTTTCTGAAGGATCAGACAAGCAGGTGTATGAGGAGCTTTGATTTGGCGCGTGATTGTGCAACACTTGAAGCTCTGGCCTTGAGGACTTATATTAATTTCAACATCCGTTCTGTGAGTTCCTTGGTCATCAAGGCTTTATTGACCATTTTGATGCTGCTATGTCATACAACAACCTCTGTTTGTTTTCTCTAGGGAAAAAAACAGGAAGCTCAAGTAAGTGTTTGGAATTTCACTGTATTATTTGCATTTAAAGACATTTTCATGTGTCTTTACATACGTTTTGTTTGTTACCTGAGGTCATTGGTGTGGAAGTGGCAGCCATTACCCTGCAGTCTTTGGAGGGCACACGGACGCCAGTGGACCCAGCTGACAGTGCCGTCTATTTTCCTTTGCTCCTGGAGTCTGGTGACGTCTGCAACAATGTTGTGCAGCAGGTAATGCACCTATTATTACTATATCAGAAATCTGAAATGTGTCAGGATTCGTAACCTGTCTAATAAGGTCATGACTATTCTGTCAGTTGAAGTACACTTTCAGGTACAGTGAAGCTGGGGAAATCCTGAATGTGTCGGCATCATTTTTGCTGGGAGCCATTAAAAGTGTCACGGTGCCCATTCAACAAGAGTTTCATATTACATTCATGCAGGTACCTAATTTTACCCTGTCAATATTTTCTTGAAACTTCTTGGATCTTATCTTATCAATAAGGAAGTAATAGTTTTGTGTACATGCTTTGATAGAAGATCTCTAGCACAGCAGGGTTACGTTTCAGTGGAAATCCTGGATATTTGGTGGGACGGCCCCTTGTGGCTGGAACAAGAACAGCTGAATATCCTTTATTCGAACCTGTTTGGGCAGATGTCATCATGTATTGAACACCACTAATTTAGTCCCTAAAATGTACCAAAAAAAATTCAACTTTTTAAACATATTTCTCAATAAGTTTAAAAACAATTAATACAAACATCATTTTTGGATATTATAAAAACTAAACCCTGACATCACATTTGAATATTAATTTTAATACATTCAGTAAATTAGAGAATTTTAGATCAAGTAATCTTTCACCATAGTCCACAAGTTAATTTATTATTTACATTAATAATTTGTATATTGGTGCGGTGGAATTTCAATCAGTCATAATTAATATTGTGCATTAATTTTTCTGAAAATATTTTGTGTCTATGACATCAGTGAAATTTTTTTTTTTTTAATTATTATCATTTATTTAGAATTATTTCAAAAGTGAATCAGCTTTTTTCCATAATGGATTTTAATAAATAAATGCAAAGCCTGTGGCACAGTCCTTGACCCCTGTTTTACTGGGATAGTTCAGTCCACTGACCCAAAAGGATCACTCACTGTCCTCCAAAACTCTGGAAATCAGGATTGCTTGCTTGGCTCATCTCAGCGCTCCCC